GGAACCTGTTGATCGATCTTGCATGGAACAAAAGAATGCTATTTCAAATGGTGATAATGTGGATGTCATTAACCAACAACCTTCAGAATCTATTACCAGTCATGTAGAGACATTTTCATGTGCTGATGCATATATGCTGATGTATAGTCTCAGTCGTTCCCGGAAGGGTGAAGAGAAAGTGCATGTGGAATGTAATGCCAATAATAGGAAGATACAAGGTGATACTGTTTGTAGTTCTCTTCCATCTCATCTTTGTGATGAGATTGAAAGTTTTAATGCATCATATCTTGATGCTTGTGAGCAATACAAATTTAAGAAAGAAGAAGAGATGAATAATATCACAGAACGAAGACAGGAAGTGCGCTCAATTCTGTCGGAAGCTCCTGTTCAACAACTTGAGGAAACCTTTTTTTGGATATCAACAGACTGGCTTCGTCAGTGGGCTGATAACATGATTTCACCGTAAGCATATGCTTGGTGTCTTTGCTTTAGTTCTTAACTTGATTTCTGCTGGAACTACAATGTCAGGGTTTTTGGTTCCCAATTTCTTTTTGGGCTTACATAGTAATCACTTGCAGTGCTCTTGACAACACATCCATCCAATGTTCGCATGGAAAAGTTCCAGTTTCAAAGGTTGGCCACATGAAAAGGTTGTCAGTCAAAGCATGGACCAAACTGTTCTCTAAGGTATTTGTATGTGTTATTGGACTTGCTTAATATTGTGTGTAACTCTATCTGTTGTTTATAAATACTTACACCAATTTGTATCATAATGCTTATGTGATGAACCCTACTTACTGTCAACTTCATACCTTCTCACTCCAGATTAGTACTTTGGCTCATCTTTTTCTGGTTTTTCATGTGTTGGCATAATGGCATTATCAAATGTTCTTTTTTCGCTTTTGCCTCTCTTGTTTTTTTATTGGGCTTTTCTTTCCCATGTTTTAGTTTTAGTTCCGATGAAATGTATACTAGTTACTGATGATTTTTCTCGTCTAACTGAATGCTGTTTCAGTATAAAGGGGGGCCAGAACTGGCCAATGATGACTACTGCATGGTTTGCCTTATTGATGGTGCTCGAAATGTAGTCTGTGCTGACAGTTATAGGGATAGAAGAATAATAATGAAGCAAGTTGCAGAGGATGCACTTGCAGCGAAGTGTTCAGGTGGAATATATTATGTTTCTAAATCATGGTATGACTGCAAACTGTTTTGTTGCTTTTTATCCTTCCTTCAGATCTCTTCATTCTTATGCTAGAGACTTTGCTATGACTTTTTTTACTAGGGATTTTCTCATACGAACACACAATCGATGGATAAATTAATTAATTATAGTGCATTACAGAAGATAAAGCTACTATGCTTTTTTTCAATACTTTTGTGCTTCTCATAGCTTCTGCTACATTATATTTCGTTTTCTCTAATGATTCTTATTCATTTTTATTTGTAGGTTACAACAGTGGCTTAAAAGAAAAATTCTTGATGCTCCAGCTGAAGCCGATGCCGGACCTACAGCTTCAATTAGGTGTCCTCATGGGGAACTTATGCCTGAACACGCCACTGGTGCTAAGAGATTGCTTGTTCCTGAGAATCTCTGGCTCTTCCTTTATGAAGATGCTTTAACAGTGAAGCCTGATGATCATTTGGGTTGTTTTCCATTTCCTTCTGACTCTGCACAGTGTTCCCAATGCAGTGATGAGCTATCTGAAGTTGCATGTATGGAGGATTCTTTAAGGTAATTTAAACTTTTACTTGTAGCGGAGAGCTGTTAAGCATGTGTAATTGTGTTGACTGGTATTTTTGCTGCAGATTGGTGAGGCTCAAACAGCGCCAGACTCATGAGAAACTACTTACGGGAAAAAGTGTGCCACTTTCTCTGCATTGCAAGTATTACTTGATACCCAATTCTTGGCTTTCAAAGTGGAAAAACTACATTACTGCAAATGGAAAGAATATTTCCTCAGTGGAGAAACCCGAAACATTAGACGGCATCATGGATTTGCTAAAGTGTGAAAAGGTAACTTAGAACGTTTCTGGATGTGCTTCTATTGAAATCCGGCACCTCTAGTAGACTGTAATTTTTTGTTTGCACGCTTTTGTCCTTAATCATGTTCATCAGTCTCATAAATGCAGTCTTTATGTAATTGAAAGCTGAATGCATATGTAGTTTTACTTTGGGCTGGACAACACTTACTATTGGTCCAAATTCAATAAGCTGAGTAAACCCGGCATCAAGTTATGTACTATTTACTGGAACTAGAAATTGTGTAGTGCATTTAAGAACTATTCTGGTTCATCTCTTCTCTAAAAATAAAACTATCCTGGTCCATGCAGTTCAGTCTGCCTTATTTTTCTTCAGTTATTAGTGTTATGCAATTATTCTAACCTCCCTGATGCTTTGTTTCAGCATTCACAGCTTCTAGAAAGGCCTGTTGATCTGGTCCAGAAACGTGGTCTGATTTCCCAGAAGTCTCCTGTAAGCATATGAATAAATGCGAGTTTGTGTATATTTGTTGATTGAACTTGTTGGTCCTTTTTGTCTTTCCCTTGTCTTTTTTTGTTTTTGTTTTTCTCATTTGTAAAATTATTGTTTCTTATAAAAGAAACCTTTTCTGGTTCTTTTAATTTTCACGGGATTGTGCGGATCAAATTTGTACTTGTGAGAATGCTCTAATGTGGGAACTCTTGCTTCTTTTCTCTCTCTTTGTGGATTATAGGTGGATGGGTTAATACTCATTACTGAGAATGACTGGAAGTCCTTCTGTGAGGAATGGGGCGGTATTGAAGAGAAAGGAATATCTGCTGAAATAGAGTTAAGTAGTACTGAAGAAAATAATTTGGCAGGGTCTTGCGAAGAGATGCCAATGGGCGAGGAGGACCTCAGTACTCCAAATCACGTAAATGGTGAAGTTGAGTGTAGACGACTTATGATTAAGACTTGTCCTGAGGTAAAGGCTTACCATTTTAAGTTGTGTTTTCTTGCCATGCATAGTGGAGGACACTTGTTATATATCATGTTTCTCTTGCTTCTTTTTAAATTTAAGAATGTCTTATGCTAGAGTAGATGCTCCAATATCTGGAACCTTTCGGTTGCATAATCTTCTGGCAGATCATTAGTGACTCCAGTTAACTTGTATAAAACCTCAAAAAGTGGCAGCAACATCGATTTTGCACAAAAATTGTATAAATTTCGAGTCATATATTTAGAATTCATAGTTACGAGAAGCAGTTTTAAAGTTGTTCGTCTGATTAGGTGCCTCAATTTTCCTAGATATGTGAGGACTGCATTGGAGAAAGAGAAAGCAGGGAATTAATGCGGAAGCTTGATTATTGCAACGAGGACATATATGTATACTTTGTACATGGCAAGGAAGCTCCAAAGTCGATTCTAAAACCATCTCAAACAAATTTCGATCCAGATCGCCGAGTTTCCAAGCGCTCTCGGAGGACAAAAACTGGGGATCAAATAAGCTTAAAAGTCTCTGGTTCCACAACCATATACCAGTTGAAAATGATGATATGGGAATCTTTTGGGGTATGCTTCTTGAAGCTAACACGTAGATGCGAGCATACTCACCAATGCATGAGTTAATTATTTGTCCAAATTGTTTTGTTCCTGTGGCATCTGATTACTGTTTTAAATTATGCAGATTGTTAAGGAAAACCAGGGACTTCACAAAGGTACTCGGATAATTGAGGACGAATCTGCTACTCTTGCGGACATGAATATCTTCCCTGGTGATAGACTTTGGGTGAATGATTCAGAAATCCATGAGAACCGAGATATTGCTGGTAATTTTATGCTGTTATATAATGCTTAAAGTCGTAGGAAGTGTTTGTAGTTGATGTGATTGAAAACTTTTACTGCATTGATTATCTTCAATAACCTTAAACATGCATTTTGACAATTGTTCCACAGATGAGCTATCTGACCAGAAAATGGATGCGCAGCACACTGAAGAGGGGTTTCGCGGGACGCTGTTGACAACAAATGTTTCGTCCCAAGTTGTTTAGAAGCATGCTTTTTGCTGGTTAATATTTGAATGTAGTACCCATGTTTTTGTAGATATTGATAGAGGGGAGGTGACTTGAAGTTTTCTGGGCGTTTTGATGACCTGCATTGTTGAGGTTAGTTGCGAAAATGCATGAATGTTCCCTTGTGGTTTGCTGGATTTTTGGGGACATCAGTTTTGATTATTGACCGTTGTCGCTCCTTTGGCAGCAGCAGTTGTCCAGTGCATGTATAATTCAGGTCACCCATCCCTTGCCTGCGGAGACAGATTACAGTATGCTGCCATTGCTCGCTGACACATGTGAAAAGGAAATGTGATATGCGCTGTTTCCTGGTCGGAATGTTTTGGGTCTAACCACTGCCGTGGTAATTTTTCTGTTGATAAGGATGTTACCGCAACTTTTATGTGTCGAACGATGCTGATTACAATGGTGTATATTGTCGAATGTACATGTTTTTTTCGGGTGTGTGGGGTGACGTTTTATCTCATAGCTAATAGCTTCCGCCGGTGGTCACTGTACAAGTAAGTTTTATAAAGTGTATTAGTTAAGAAGAGTTTCATGTGTTAGTTCCTCTGTTTCAGTTTCTGGGTTCATTCCTATCATGAGTCATGCGTTCGTATTCTCGGATTGGAGGAGCAAGAAAATGAATTGAAATTATGTTTGTATAAAATTTCCAATAAATAAATCCAAAAGAAGATGTGATAATAAAAGGGGAATTGGTTAATCAAATTCCCCTTGCTAAATTGATCAGAATTTTATGTTGATGATATGCATACTAAAAACTGATCATTTCATCGATTCGAGATTTAAGTTGGATGGCAGGGCAGAGATCTAACGCCTAGGCTTCTAGGCGGCGCCTAGGCAAGGGCTTGGCCTTGGAAACATTTAACAAGTTTTTTACAATTTATTAAAAAATAAAATGCAAAATAAAAGTTATTTATTTTCTGTTTAAGTGAGTCGTGATTTTTAAAACAATGCATCGTCTAGAATTTTAAAAAGGATTATTTCAGCTAATTTCTCGTAATAAAATACATGACATAGGGCACATCTCCCATGAGTTTTGCGGAAATATCACATGTTTGCTTGCCTGCATGCCAATGCATTATTCTTCTTCTTCCCCGTGATTTATTCAAAGAAAATGCAGGAAATGAAACCTCCTCTGTTTTTGCTCTGCCTCATAATATGCATACAAAAAAAAGGAAGGGAAAACATTTGAGGATGGAAAAAGTTTATAATTTTAGATCCAGCGGCTGTGGTTTCTGGAGTTGTTGGCTCCTCGGAACCACCTATCCCACCCTACTTCACCTGGTCCTTTAGTCCTGTGTACACGAATTAGATCACCCGTTGAAAACGGACTTAGGGTGTAGGGTGAATGCTCTTAACTAACTGAGCTACAACGATATTAAAAAAAAGGGGCTGGAAATTGGAATTATGTCTTACCATGGAAGCAATGGATCAGATGTTGATTCAACGCTTGCAATGAGGCTGTATATGATCAATATTACCAAAAAAAAGAAAGAAAGATGGGGGTTGGAGCCGTTGGATTGAAATGTGAACAAAAACATATGAACAGTTGGGATTTTATTTGCTTACTCTTTGCATACAATGGAGGATTCACCTATTGTCTCAAGTTGGTCCAGCTCTTTCTGCATATGAATCACAAAACCTTTTTCAGTTTTCATAAATTCTTCTTGTGCGCAGATATGAGTTAGGCCAGTTAACTAAGACAGTATGTCCGCTCCCACATCCAAGTCAAAGTTCCGCTCTAAAGGTTAGACTAGTTTAGAATGTCGTATCATAAAAGAAAAATGATGGAGATAATTGTGAGGGAAAAAGATGGACCTGGATGATGTCGATTTGGTTTTGAAGATGGGAAATGGAAGCTGCGAGCTTATGCTTGCCAATGAAAGTGGGAAATTGGCCAGCTCTTGCTCTGTCTTCGAAATAAAGTGGCAGAGCCATTCCTTCTCCTCCTCCTCCACCTCCTCCTCCTTCATCTTCTCTTCCTCTTGCCGGAGAAGATGATGGGTTTGCTTCTTCTACTTGCTTATCCATTCACAAATTCCAACCAAAGCCTCTCTCTGTCTTTACACCTAGAACTGATTATATTGTTTAGAGAGAGAGAGAGAGTGATTATATTGTTTAGAGAGAGAGAGAGAGAGAGAGAGAGAGAGAATGGGGACCTATGTTTTGTTCATGATTAAAAAGCACTGAGTGGACATGGAATAAACAAAAAATAAATAAAAAGCAATTAGATTATAAAAAGTGGTGAATTTATTTAGGGAAATATAGAAAGGGGGATGTGGTGTGAATGATCATGTTTTATAACTTATTTAGTTAAGTTAACAATTGATTATTGGCGTTGATGAATCGCACGATAATAACTCGAGAGATGTTAAAACGCTTTTACGCATCTCTCGGTCTCTAAAAAAGTGGACTGCCATGGCGAATACACCATGAATTATGAGCAGAGCAGCAGATAGGGCAACATGCCAACAACTAGACCACATATTTCCCTCCATCCATCCATCCTCAAATTATTGATCAATTAATTTATACAAAGTTTTAGAGAAAAACTTGTACGGGACTCTCTCATACCACGTGATTCGGAAGATATCCTTCACAGAACATAAGAAAATAATCTCCTTTTCTAGTACCATCCAGCATTAACTAATTCAAATAAGACAATACTAATGAAATTTTTGTCGTTGTTTTGAATGAGTATGGTAAAAAATAAGGGACGAATGAGTAACATACCCAAAGCCAAAGGTAGCAACAAGTCAAAATAAACACAACTGCTTTTGGCGGTTTAGTTTGACAGTTGACATATCTGCTTGATCAGACCCATTCAAACTGTGATGGATTTTTCAACAATTTCTATCATCAATAAGTTTGAAAGTTTTAAGTCTTTCCCCACCCTTGAGTGCTATGAAGGTTGTGACATTCTTTGGTTTGAAAAGCCTCCACATTTTATTGTTCATTTACTTTCTGCTGAATGTAATTGAAAGGGCTTCTTCGCCTTCTTTCTCGTTTTGTAACCGTTCTCTTTTATAAAATCTGTCTATCGTTGCTTTAAAAAAAAAAAAAACGGAGGGATTTCTTGTAATGAAAGAAAAATACGGCTCTTGGAATTCTTTTTTAATATTTGCTTTTGGATTTTGGATTTTGACGTTTTGGATTTTCAGTTTGGGATGTGCACTTTTGGAGTTTAGGTGTTCATTCTTCGATTTTAGAGGATTTTAAACATTTTCAAGTTTGGAGTATGAATTTGGGCATATAAAATTTCAAGGGCCAACATTCCTACTTGAAATTCCAATATGTTTACCAAAGAAAATTTTCAAATTGACAACTTGAAAACGCCAAAAACTAAATTTCAAACTCAAAACAAAAATCCCAAAATGCTCAAGAGAATTTTATGAAAGGTTTTATCATCCTGAAATCCTATGGGGCCCATTATGTACCACATCAGCACTTAATGAAAATTTTAACATAATTATGACGGAATGACCACATTGATTTGCGACATCTATTTTCAAGAACTACATTGATTAATTTTCAATTTCAAGGACCATCTTGATAGTTAGGGTAAATTTCAAGAACCATTTATGATAAAAACCCTTTTATGAAACAATTTCAAAGCAAGGTCTAGAATATCTATATTATCCCGATATTTCCAACGAAATTTCTGTGTTTTTGGACTACTGATATTTCCGATATCATCGATATTTTAAACCTTGATAGAAACTCTTTGTGGTACTCAGTCACTCATGTATCTTACCATGCAATGTATAAAGTGTAAAATATTGTACTAATTCATTATATATAAATGATTATGGTGTGTTGAAACTTCTTTCATTAATTACTACATATTTTCTACACTCACAATGTTTGGCAGCTCGCTATATAATCAACTTAAATTAGTTAAATCCATGATGCAATGCATTTCCTTTCAATTTTTGTTGTGATAAACTAATAGATAATTGACTAAATAAACATCATGCAAAGTTTTAATAAAAATTTCCAAGTTTTTCTTACAATTTCCGTGGTTTTTATTCAATTTTTATCGATATCGATAATATCCCGATATTTCCATCGAAATTTCCATGTTTTTGAACTACTGATATTTTCGATATCATCGATATTTTAGACCTTGGTACAAAGTGAATGTAAGAATTTCTTAGTCTTATATTAGTTGTTAAGAACGACAATATAACTATGAACTGGTTCCATCTAAAGCATTCTCCAAATAGCACACTTCAAAACACCAAGTCTTACCTAAATGTCTCGAATACTAGAAATTCCAGAAAACCGACCAAACCAAACCGTAGACTAACCAAAGTCCATAGTCCAAGTCAAAGAATGAGGATCCTGAGAATCTGTGAATCGTATTCGTTCATCGTACATCGTGTGATTAGAAATCATTTAAATTTTTTTTATTTAAAATTGAATACACATAGCACCTGACGAAAACTGACTATACAATATACGATGAACATATACAATTCACAGATCCCCGAGTTTCTCACAAAGAGGATCACGAAAGGATTCGGACTCCTACTCAAAATCCAAAACCCAAAAGCCTAAACCCAAAAAAAATGCAAACTCCAACGACCCAACCCTGAAAATTGAAGTTCTAATTGGGGTTTTAGGAAATTGGATTTGGGCCAATCCAGCGTAATCCCAATCCCACCTTAGGGTTACAAGATTTAAAATTAAAACGACATCAACGTGAATGTGGCTACAATTTGTTTTTTGAACAGAGAAATGGCAATAGCATCAACAATATCGTCATCAACCTCAAAGCTCTTCTCTTTTTCCTCGTTATCACTCCGCCTGAGAAGCCTCACAACCACCGCGCGCAGCGCCAGAAGCAACTGCAGCGCCGCCAAGAAGAAGAAGGAGAAGCAGGAACTGAGGCAGATAGTGGTGTTAAAGGAGAAGAGGAGAACGCGTTCCGACAGAGAATTCCAGTTGGAAACAATCAAGCGCTATGGAGGCACCGCCACCCACATTCCCGTCATGCTCGGCGAGGTTCTGGACGTTTTCCCCGCGTCAAAACAGCTACGGTACTTCGTCGACTGCACTGTCGGAGCTGCTGGGCATTCCTCTGCGGTCAGTAATCACTCTTCTATCTTTGCTTCTACAGAAAGCACTTGTGGTCATAATCGCTTCTGCTTCTGCTTCTGATAGAAGTGATAATATAAACAAGTTGAATTTTGTATTAACGTCTAATCCAATCCAAGTTATGCAAGAAGCACTTGCGAGTGCTTCGTGAAGAAGTGCTTCTTGAAAAAGCGCTTCAAGGAGCTAGAAGCACTACTAAGTTTGTTGGCCAAGTGCACTTTGAAACTTTTTGGTTGCTCTACAAGAAGCAATGCTGAACAGACCCTTAATTTGATGTAATTACGAGTTGGGTTTTGGCTTAATTGTTTGATTACTAGCAGATAATTGAAGGGCATCCGGAAATGGAAGTGTATGTTGGGCTTGATGTTGATCCTACGGCGCTTGAGAAGGCTCGAGCTCGGATCAACTCTGTTTTGCATGACCCGACTAGTTCGAGCCTCAAAGCTTACACCTTTTTGGAGAATTTCAGATATGTGAAGTCTCTGCTTTGTGATGTGGATGAGACACTGGTTGAAACTGGGATTGATGGGATGTTGATGGATTTGGGAATGTCGTCGATGCAAGTGAATGATCCACAAAGAGGGTTCAGTGTGCTTGCTAATGGACCTCTTGATATGAGGATGGATCCTCAGGTAAGAATTGTTATGGCATTTTTGTATCCAATTTAGTTGAATGAGATAAAGACTAGGAAAAAGTTATTTGCTTTTTTATGTTCCAAGTATGTATGTAAGAAACTTAAGAGCGCATTTGTGGTTTCGAGTTTTTTAGCGGGTGGAGTGTTGTTATGAACTGAGGGCGATCTTATTGAGTCAATCGGTTTCTTGCAATTTTCATGGTAATAGTTAAACATTTTTATCTGAAGACTCATCGGGGAGGCTCTGATGCCATTTTATTTTTACATGTGTTCCCAAGTCCAAAGACCAGTTTGAGGGTGTTCATGTGAGTGATTGCTCAAATAGGATGCCTATAATAATGCCCCTTTTGTCATGTGTAAGAATGGTGTACTATTGGGTAGGTTACAGTTACGCCACATGTGTGCACATGTGGAAAATTGGTGTCGTGACCATTTTACATATACGTGCTTCCAGCAGTGTGTGGATCGTGTAGCTCATGTAGGGATGTAAAGATCTGAATCACCCAATTATGATCCCCTCGTCATATGCACTCATGATTCCCGTCTTCTGTAACTAAGCTCAGTTATCCCTTTCCTTTTCCAAATTAGTGTTCTCTACTGGTACTGACTTTGATTCATTGAAGTCCGAGGTGATAGTTTGTAGGGTGAATGAAAACTTTCTAAGAAAAATGACATGCATGATTACTATGATTTACTGACTGCATCATCATTGTAAATGTTTGTTTCATTTAATTGATTGGAGTAGGGCTTTGACAGGCAAGTCTGAAAGCTGAAGACATTTTGAACTCTTGGCCAGATAATGAGGTAGGGCGCATCCTGCGGGACTATGGGGAAGAAAGTAACTGGTACTCTCTTCAAAATAGAATTGTTAGAGCCCGTTCACAGGGTGGATTGCATACCACTGGTGATTTAATACATCTTATAAAGAGTGCAACTCCGCTGAGTCGAGGTAGGCATCCTCTTGTTCTATATTGTTCTTGTACTTTGACCTTGCATAGTATATTTCTATCAGAACCGTAGTTCCATTGATTGTTGTATTAATGGATATGCAAAAAAGCTTTAATTACTAAGGTTGAATTCAACTGCAACAGAAGGACGGCAAGGTTGGATTAAGACAGCTACAAGGGTGTTTCAAGCTCTAAGGATAGCCGTGAACGATGAACTGAAGACTCTCGAGGATTCTCTTTATTCTTCTTTTGACTGCCTTGCACCTGGTGGCAGGTTGGCAGTCATCTCTTTCCATAGTTTGGAGGACAGAATTGTGAAACAAACATTTCTGGACATCATCAACGAAAAAGACAGAGATGGTGATGTTGACATGAATGAAGAAGAACCACGGAAGAAAGATTTGAGAAAGATCATGAGTGACATTGATGAGAACGAAGTATGGATCAAACAAACGGTACAAGG